CCTTCATCCTTAAGTAAATTCACTTTTTCTTTAATCACCATCTAGATGGCTATTTAGCCTATCCGCGTACCAGCATGCTAACCTTCCATGTTCACATTTCAATGTGATCCTGAAAATAATGTGTGTGTTTTTAGTTTATTTCTTAATTTATGAGCCAATTAAATATTAAAATTAACAATACTTTTTGGAGGTAAAAAAACACTATACACATAAAACATACAAACAAAAACAGAACCCAAAAGGATCAAAACATAAACACAATTACTAATAATTATAGAGAGACACAAGGTTTTTTATTTGCCCTCACAATTTCTAAGGAGGCAGGCATGGGATACTTCAGCTGCTTGTGTTTTAAAATACCCCTTTCTCGAATATATGCACCCCTATGTTCATTGCAGCATTATTTACAATAGCCAAGATCTGGAAGCAGCCCAAGTGCCCATCAGTAGTAGATGAATGGATAAAAAAGTGTGGTCCAGCCCGGCTGGCGTGGCTCAGTGGTTGAGAGTCAACCTATGAACCAGGAGGTCACGGTTAGATTCCCGGTCAGAGCACATGCCCAGGTTTCGGGCTCGATGCCCAGGTTGTGGTCTCGATCCCCAGTGGGGGGTGTGCAGAAGGCAGCCAATCGATGATTCTCTCTCATCATTGATGTTTCTATCTCTCCCTCTCCTTTCCACTTTGGGAAAAAAAAAAAGAAAAGTAGTGGTGTATTTACCCCACAATGCTACTCGGCCCAAGAAAAGAAGGAAATTTTACCCTTTGCAACAGCATGGGTCGACCTGGAGATTATTATGTTAAGTGAAGTAAGCCAGTCAGAGAAAGACAAATACCATATGATTTCTCTTATATGTGGAATCCAATGAACAAAATAAACTGTCAAACAAAATTGAAACAGAGGTATGGATATAAGGAACAGACTGACAGCTGTCAGAGGGGAGGGGATGGAGAGACTGGGTGAGAGAAGGTGAGGGGATTAGCCAAAAAACATATATACATAACACACAGACACAGACAACAGCCTGGTGATAGTCCCGGGGAAAGGGGGTGGGGGCTAGGTGGAGATGGGCAAAGCGGGGGAAATGGAAAGAGATTTGGCTTGGGATGATGGGCACACCATGCAGGGTGCAGATGATGTTTCATTGAGTTGTACACTTTAAACCAGTTGTACACTTTAAAGTGTACAAATCAATGTACACTTTAAACCAGTATGGTGTTGTGAAGCAATGCCAACCCAAGAAACTCAATTTTTTTTTTAAAAAAGCAATAGAACATTTGAATAAATAAAAATACGCCTTTCTCAATTTTTTCCCCCCTTTGGTTTTCAATCCTCAAGCAGTTGTGAGCTGGGTTTGCATTTCTGATTACCTGGCAGGAAGACCTGCTGAGACCTTCAAAATAGTCTTGTCAGCCTTTGAAAAAGCAGCTTCCAATTTGGCAAAGTTCCTCATCAATTCTAAAACCTTTAAATTCTGTTGAAATATACCAGTTTTTATAATCTTATATCTCAATAATCTCTAAACAATTTCCACCTTGTTGCGAAATTTCTGGGTTTTTCCTTCTGTTTCTTTTAATCCCTTGCTGTGTTAGAATCTATAAGACCCAAGTAGCAGAGATAGCAAATTCAAAAGGCTTAGCATTTGTATTTATTTTTGCCCCATTGTGTGTGTTTTTCTTCTTAGTGCTGGGCAATTGTACTTTCAATATTTTATTTTTCTCAATGCCCTGATTTTTTTACAATATCTTCACCTATTAGAAGGTACATAGGAAGGGGTCTGAGTGGGTTTTGATTTTCTAATTTTTGTCCTTTCATCTTTTAAAAAAAATTTATTCATTAAATTGATTGGGGTGACATTGATCAACATGGACACATAGGTTTCAGGTGTGAGTGTCTATGTTATAAGTTCTGTATATAAGACAAAAAGTAGGTAGTCAGGATGGTGCATGCAGTATCTCTGGTCTTCCACCAAATGCGAGACACTTCCAGTCACAAACCTGCTAATCTGTGACAGCTCAAACAACAGGCTTATGGAAAGTCTGCAAGTCTGAGCTTGTGTTCTATCCCTATGGTATTTCCTTCTCATGACAAATAGCACAAGAGACATAGACAGAACAAAAATGGCTTCCTCTGGGAGGAAAGATTCAATAAAGAAAACCCAAGAGCCAGCAGGCCCAAGAAACTAGCTTCATAAATATTTTCTCTTGCCAATGTAAGTTTAGAAGAGAGAAAATAATTCTCATCATTTCTAACGTGTCATTTTTAGGAAGGTTGAACCATTCAGATTTTTTTTTTTTAATGGATGAATCAGCCCCATATTGTTCTCTCATAACAACTGGTGTTTTGTGGGAGGAACAGGGGGTGTCTTGGAGTTTGACTTCCCCCAATTTAAATTGCTTTCAACCAACCAAGGCAGGGAAGTTGTTTCTGGTCGGTAGAATGCTGTTTCCTGGTGCCCTTCCCCATTGGGTCGCTGGCTACTTACTCTCTTATCTTCAGAGGGGAAAGCCAACCCTCAGTAGATAATTTCCAAAACAGCTTATATAACCTTGGTCTGGAGTAAAAACCCAAACTAATTACATGGAATGGCCACCAGATGTCACTATGAGTTCAATGATCTCAGACAAAGAAAAAAAATACAGGTACATTGAAATTGAGGGTGTCCTTCAAAAACTCACCAGTGAGGTAATTCTCTCCTTCACATTTGTGGTACCGAATTGGTACTGACATGGTATCGGCATGAGGAAATAATTCCTCACCACCTCCTGGGCTGCCACCTTGTAATACTCTCCTGAAACGTACTCTCTGGCACCATAAAGCCCTGGGCTTCCACCAGAAGGCATGTGTTCCTAAGATCCAAGACTTTGGAGGTGCAGAAAGGGAGCACACTAGGAGTCCCATGAGCCCCAAGGGTATGTAGATGTCACACTTTGACCTTGACCCGAAGGGTAGCATTCCTCTCTCCTTCTCCAAAGTTTAGTCCCACATTAGGCACCAAATGTTAAGCACAAAGTTTATAGTTTTTAAGTAAAATTGGCTATGTGTATTAAATTTTTTTTTTTTACTGGAAATAACCTTATTTCTCAGCAATTCCCTTTCTGAAATTTATCTGGGAGTGTGCAATGACATTTCTACAAGGATGTTTTGTGAACAATAGGAAGCTTGGTTAAATTAATTATGGTACATAATAAACAATAGAATACCATGCAACCATTAAATATAAAGTTGTAGCAAGATATTGAGTGACAGGGAACCATGTTTGCAATAGAGCAGTTTACAAAATAATAATAGCTACCATTTATTTTGTGCCAGCCAGTGAGAATGACTGTTCAGTGCTTTACACACGTGATCTCATTTAATCTCTGTAACTACCTTGAGAGATTGTTTCCCCTGATCACTAATAACCACCTAAAAACTAAGTAACTAGCTCAAGTTCAAATCTCCAGGGTGTAGGAGAGCCAGGATTCAGACACAGGCTATCTGACTCCAGAGATGTTGCCCTTCATCCCTGTGTTTTGTATATAAACTCACTTTGTTTTTAAAGAAAGTATGTATACATAGACACAGACTAAAAGCTGATGAAGTTGATGAAGCTGATGGTATGTAGTTGATGGATTACAGGGAATTTTTATTTTCTTCTTGTTTGATATGTAATAAGAGAGAAAAAGATTAGTTAAAAGGAAAAGAAAATGTGGGAGTCCCAATTCCCTGGTCTATAAAAAATGGTACCCTTTTCAGGTAAAATAATGGAGAGGTCATGAGGTGGAGGGTGGTGGGCCCTGGTCCAAGTAAGGCTGCCACCCATTTATCCTCTTAACTTTTTTTGTTTTAATATATTTTTTTATTGATTTCAGAGAGGGAGAGAGAGAAACATCAATGATGAGAGAAAATCATTAATCAGCTGCCTCCTGCACACCCCACACTGGGGACTGAGCCTGCAACCCAGGCATGTGCCCTGATCAGGAATGGAACTATAACCTACTGGTTCACAGGTGAATACTCAACCACTGAGCCACACTAGCTGGGCCATTTTCTTTAGTTTTATAATGCCTCCTGGAACTGTTTTCAGAATTTTCTTCATCTTTAAAGTTTTATTCTGTAGAGGGTGCTTTTCAAATTTTCAAAGTTATTAAGAGCCAGCTCTGAAGAAATTTTCCCAACGTTGGCTTAAAATGACAAATATATGTGTATGTGACTTTGTAAGGATCGTTAAACTGACTCAGAAATTTAATCCAAAAAAAACCCCACCCCAACCCAATTTCATCTGAGTGTTTGGGGGCTTAATAGATATATACTTTTAAGTCATTTAAAAGTACACACAGTATGGTGTTTTTAACATCCTAAAAACATTGTGTGTAAACCACTTTCTTACCTAGGCCTGTCTGAAATTTTCTTGTATGGGATAAAGAACTAACAGCAATTCCTTCTGTTGCTTTAAACAATTTAACCAATATTATAATTTTTGTTTGTAAATACAAACCAGAAACTACCTAGGTGCAAGTACTGATTTCGCAGAGCAGCTGCAGCAGGTGAATTTTGGCATGGCCATCCATACCCAGAAAGCCTGATAACCAGCGCTTTTCCTGGATCTGCAAATCACTTTCCAGCTTTCCTTGTGATCAGTGTCCTACAAAGAAAAGTTTATCACTGCACTGTGAAGCATTTAAGCTATTCCCAGTCATATTTTCATTCCAAGGGTTTTGTCTCCATTTACACCCCCACCCTCCTCATCACCCCATTTCTTGGGTTGGTCAATCTGACTTAATGTTATATCCCAAAACCAGGTTCCATAAATGGTTTAAACTATGGCAAACCATTGGCTTAAGCGTGTGGATATCAAAGGTGCATAGTTTGAAGGAGAGGGTGCTCTTTTAGATATAGGATTTCTGGTTTTATAGTTAAGGAACATGAACCACTCACTGCAAAGTAGGGTAGAGGATTTTCTCCCCCCATCCTGGGG